ATAATCACCTATCCCAAACCCAAATCCCAAAATTAAACCCCAACTCAACACACACTCTTCTCCCAAAAATGGCAGCTCATCTTCACCCACGCGCCGCCGTCCCACAATGCCTACACCGCTGCGAGCTCAGGGATCCGATTCTCCTACTCGCTCGAGAATCACCGCGCCTCATGAGTAATCCCAAGTGTAGAGTAATCATTTGGAGGATTGGCGCTGCCAGTGGGGGTGGGGTTGGGGACTCGTACTTGGACATGTGGAAGAAGGCGGTGGCGAGGGAGCGGAAGTCGGTGGATTTCGAGAAAATGGCCGTCGAAAATGAGGGGAAAGAGGTGAGTAGTGAGGAATTGGAGAGGATGAACCGCGAATTTGGGAAGCTCTTGGAGGTCCCAGCGGAGGAGAGGGATAGGGTTCAGAGGATGCAGGTAATTGATCGGGCCGCGGCGGCGATTGCAGCGGCAAGGGCGTTGCTGAAAGAGAATTCGCGGCCGCTGGAAGAGGTTTCCGGAGAGGAGGGACAGCAAGAGGGTAACATGTTTCGCCTTTTCTATTCTGGTTTTTTTTCCCTATACCAAAAAATTAATATGTATTTCTTATTTTTTAAACCCGCCCACACACACATTCAGCTGAAGAAACAGAATATATTTCACTTTTTAGTGTTTGCTTAAATTAACATTTCTTCTTCTTACTATGCTTTATTTAGTCAGAATCTAAAAGGAAAACAATGACTGCTAAGGATTTCTACTTGTGTTGATGGTTCAATAATTCTGCACCTGACATTTTCCTTATATCAGCCTAGAAAAGTCCATATTTTTTATTATTATACTCCTTACCATGCTGTTTCTATTTCAGAATGAGAAAATCCGACGAAATCTTAAAAGTTATGTGGAAATTATGAGATCATTTCCATCGTGAAGTTTTTCGTAATGAATGAGATTAGGTTAGTTTTTACCCTTAAGCTTATATTCATTTTAGATTTAAGACCATTCAATTTTTCCTGATCATTGGTGTACAAACATAAGCTGATCACACTCCAGGGTTAGTTCATTTTACCAACTCTTTAGTCCATTTCTCATTTTGGGTCTTAGGAATTTTTGTGAAGTTTCACTTCTCTTGATGTCAAACGAGTGAATTCATATAGTAGCTTTTCAAAAAATAAATAAATAAAATAAAGCGTGTCAGCATAATCTTATCGAACAACATTTATCCCTTACGATTACATTTTCATCATTTCCCAGACACGCAGAACAATATTTCATACCCCACGTCTCAATCAACCACCGGCACTCCGGGCCCAAGCTTCTGGGCTTGGGCCCCGCCTCCCATTTCCATCGAGCCCGAGATAAAACGAGCCCGTCAACCCTCTCCTTCCTCGCCCCAATCCATTGCCGTGCTCGAGCACGAACAAAGCTTCGATATCCTCCCAATCCCGTTTGAGACCTCGATGCTCGACAGCAAGAACGGACCCCCACTCCCCCCTCTTCAGTCGTTCGTGGAAGTGGAAAAAACCGAACTCACTGACTCGACGGCTCATACCATTGAGGAAAACGAAATTGGTGTTCGTTTTTCGGCCCATGCAGTTGAGGCGGCTGATGCCCTGAGTAGAGTGAAGGGGGATTTGATAGAAGGGGTGAATATTGACGGGTCGAGGTGGTGGAGTGAGACAGGGGTGGAGCGGAGGTCTGATGGGGTGGTTTGTAAGTGGACAGTGATGAGAGGGGTTAGTGCTGACGAGGCAGTCGAGTGGGAGAATAAGTATTGGGAGGCAGCGGATGAGTTGGGGTATAAGGAGCTTGGTTCAGAGAAATCGGGCCGGGATGCGAATGGGAATGTGTGGTGGGAGTG